GCAGAGGGATGCTGAGGACTCAGACCTCTGCCCTCTCCATCCAGGACCACGCACACCCTTTCCCAGGCTGAGAATCTCCCTTCCCCGGGCAGACAGCAGGAACCCACCCCCCCGCGGGCCGGGCTGCCCGTACCTGTGCAGAGCGGGCTCCTCTCACTGCTGCTTGCAGGTGGAGAGCTTGCGGATCTTGCTGCTGGCAGAGCAGGCCTTGCGGGAGGGGTTGGAAGAGGCGCTGGCCCGTCGCTCCGCCTTGGATTTGCTGCTCAGCTGTCCCGGCTCCGTCCCGTTCATGCACACGGCCTTGGGCAGCCCCCGGCCGCGGCTCTGCCCGTTCTGCCCTGCCTCCTCCTCAGGCACCTGTCCTGCAAGGGAAGGGACACGGTGAGGGCAGCAGCTCCTCCACTGGGACCAACCCTTCCCCTTGCCTGGAATGCTGCTGCTCCTGGGGAAACCAGAGCCCATTTCTACCCCTTCAAGGACCACCTGAGGCAGCATCAACAAGGGATGGATGGGTGAGGCTGAAAGCCCCAGACTGCATCTTGCTCCCACCAGGGCCAGTTTTACCCATCCTGCTCCAGCACACAAGAAAAAAACCTCACAAAAGCTAAGGCAGTGAGGGAGAACCGAGGGCCTGGCAGGTCCAGGGCTTGAGAACAGCCATCCTGTGAACACCTGGCTGCTTCTGCAGCCCAGGGAGGGTCTGTTTCACCCCCTGCAGCCCAGGGAGGGTCTGTTTCACCCCCTGCAGCCCAGACACGGCTGGGGGCACTGCCAGGCAGTGATGCAGCAGCTCAGATGTGCCACTGTCCCCTAACAGGGACACCCAGATGGGAGGATGGCTCCAGATCAGCCCCGCTCCCCTCCTCTATGGGCCAGCTTGGTGTGACTCAGCACAGCAGATAAGGAGCCATTTCCAGAGGCATCTGCCCAACTGCCATGGCTGGGCAGGGCTGGGGTCACCTCCACTCAACTGGGGGGTGACAAAGGGCCCCCCTGTCCCAGGAGGGGACATTGCCAGCCAGCCAGACGTGAGGCTGGGGGGGGGATTTGTCAGGTTTTCAGCTCCCCAGCTCCCCCCCACCGGATCCAGCAGAGGCAATTTCCTTCCAGCAGGAACGTCACGCTCCAGGGCTCTTCAGTTATGACTCAGAGGTTTGAGTGGAAGCGAAGGCTGCAAGATGATTATGTATAATTTTCTTTAAAGGATGCTCCATCCCCTCCCAGCCAAGGCCGACCAGCACGTCATCCCCCTCTGCTTGTGCCAACCATCACCCCCCGCCGCAGCACCCGGGGAAGAGGGGGGGCTGTGGGGGGGACGGGGGTGGTGGGAGAGCTGCTGCTCCTCCATCTTAGAGCCCCATGCTCTCCTAAATCTTGCTGCAGCCCCCTGGGCCCGTGCTGCTCCCATCCTCCAGCCCGCACGTCCCACAGGGAGCCAGGCAGCTCCACATCCTCTGCAAATGAAGAGTCCTTTGGGAAACAAAAGAGGACACGGAGGTACCTGGTTCAGACAAAGTCACCTTCAGCACCCACCTTCCTCTCCTGGAATACTCGTGGCAGGAGCGTGGCCCCTGCCTGGGGGGGAGGCCTGGTGAAGCCCCCCCTGGTGCAGAGACCCCAGCACAGCACAGGCTGGAGCAGGGCAACACCCAGCAGGAAGGGTAAAAATACCCTTGGAAATCAGGGAGCAGACTGGGCAGCTCCACAGCCAGCCTGGCCTGGCGCAGGCTGCGAGGACCAGGGAGGATGGATTTCCTCCCCAAAAGCAGCCTGAGCTGCTGAGCTGGGCTCCAGCAGAAAAAACCTGGAGAAATGGCCCTGACGATTGATCTGGAGATCAAAGCAGTTCTTCAAGGCAGTCAGCTACACTCCCAACTTGTTAAGGAACTCAGAAGCACCTTCCCAGAGCTGTGGTCTGGACACTCCAGCACATCAGAGTGGGTGAGGTGCTGCTGGTCCACCAGGGGCTGGGGACAGGGGCCCAAAAGCAGCGGAAGAGAGAGGGTGAGAGGAACCCACCTGCTGCTGGGTGACCCTGTGCCTCGGTGCACTGCCCCCTGCTCCCCCCCAGCACCTCCACCAGGCCTGGCACAGCCCCTGGCTTTGAGCACCCACTGCACTCCTGGGGGGGTTGCCCAGCCCTGCACCTCCTGAGAGACACAGACCCAAGAAGGACGAGTGCCCTGGGAAGGTGTCATCACCTCCAACACTGTCTGAAAACAACTGGCCCAGCGAGGGGCTGAGGCGCACGAGGCAGACACACCAGCCCTACCTGGCTGTGCACATACAGACCTGACATCAATCCCACCAGCTCCTGACCTCTTGGGAGGGGGTGACTTGCTGGCAAGGGCTGAGGCCTCCAATCCACAGGGACATGCCAGTCCCAGAGCCCCTCCAGGACCGGGACAGCTCACCATGGGTCAGGCTGCATCACAGCCTGGCCATACCCATCCCCAGGCTTCAGGGCTTTTCCTCTTCTCCCTACACCCCAACTGCAAAGCCTCAAATAACCTCATTCAGAGCAAAGCTGAACACTTCTCCTTCCCCTCCCTCAGCTGAACTCAGGCCAAGTCAATTAACATTTCTGACTGGGGAGGGAAAAAATAAAATATCCAAACAGTTAATTTGTCTTTTGTTTGACTCTTCCCTCCTCCCACCCTGCTTTAAAAGCACAGTCCCAGGAGTCTATTATGGATAGCAAGGAGGGAGGGGGAATTGCAAGCTAATTTTACCTCCTTCACCAGTGACAGTTGCTGACGTTCAAATTAATGAAAATAAAAATTCAGCATGGGATGAAGTCTTGGCAACTGCCTGCCCACACGGAAGCCAGTGACCCAGCACTGTGTCTGTTCAAACAGCTACATCCTACCTTAGCACTGCCACTGAGCTGGGCTAAAAATAAAATAAATAAAAGGAGGGCTGGGAGAGGCACTGAAAACGTGCATGTTCGCCCTTGCCACCTCTTACGTTTCTTAATGGCCCCATCCAGCTCATTCAGGCACAAAAAAAGGTTTCAAAATAAAATGGTGAAGAGCTTTTGAATTGCTGGGTTTGTCAGACACAAACATACATACATAATTTGTGGCTAGAAACTGCACCTTTTCAAGCACCAGGCTTTAAAACTCCAATCCTGGCTTTATTTTCTAGCCTCAGACTGAATGCTAAGGGAGGAAAACAGGAAAAAAAACAACCACCAAAACCAGCCTCAAACTAAGCAGCCATTTGCCTCTGTTGGAGCACTGGGCTGGAGTGGAGGAAGGGGTTAATGGCAGGGGAGCAGAAATCAGAGCATAGCCTTCTAAATCTGAAAGGCAGCACAAAAGCACCAAGCAAGATGCTTCCTTTCCTGCACATGCTGCCTCTCTCCAAAGCAGCAGCTCTGGAGGGGATGCTCTCTCATGTGCCCAGTGCCAGTTACTCTCTCCTCACCACTTCCCTTGGATGAGATGTTTAACACCAATTGAACCAGGGGCATGTAACATTTAAGGCTCTCTACAGATCTGCATAAATCTTTAAATAACCCTTTAAAAAGAAAAGCACATTCTCAAAGCCCCTTCTCCCTCTGAAGAACGCAAGATTTAATGAGGTTCCCTCTTCTCTCTCCCAAACTGAACACCCACTCCCACCTATGAGTCACTTGTTCTCCTGCTCTCGCTGCCCAGCAGAACCACAACTGAATTCATCAGTCACTTACAAACTGGGTGTTGTGTTTTTTTTAATTTTTATTTTATTATGGTGTCACTGCTAGAAATGTAACAGTTGCAAGTTCAAAAGGATCCTGCAGGAAGACTCGGGAAAGAGAAGATGGCAGTTTATCCCCTGTGCCAGCTGCCCCCCTGCCTTTGCCAACCAGAGCAGACTGTCCCACGCCAGGTTCCTCCTCACCCTGAGCTCATTATGAGGCTGCATTTCTGGGGAGGTAATTTCTGTCCATCCCACCCACCCTGGCTAACTGTAACGAGTGCTGTAACAAGGCAACTGCTGGCCTATGGGGCCACAAGTAACTTTCAGGTCTCTAACCCCTCAGAAACAGCATGAATTACAAAATAATTTAAAAAATCTTCCATTAATTTGCCTGTCATCTTCTGAAATGACAGCTCTTATTTGGGTTTAAATACTGCTCTTTGCATTAGGAGTGTGTAATAGTTGGTATTACTGCTCTGGAGATGATCTCCCACTCGCAGAGTCACCTGCCTGTGCAGGGAACATCCAGCTGAGCTGGCAGGTGGGCATGGCAGCAAAGGAGCATCCTGGGCCTGCAGGGGCAGTGATGCTGCCCACAGACTGCACAGGCTGAGTGACCCACCTGGGGAGGGGTCACAGACCACCCCCTGCAGCTGCCCTCTGCCTAGAAATTCAAAACCAAAAACTGAAGAATTATTCCCTTGAAAAACAAAGTGACCTGCTTTTGAAACAACACAACTGTCCTGGAGATAGGCAGGATCCTGCTTAAGCCTGGGGGAAGCCAAAGAAATGATCCTACATTCTCCAGCCACTGCCAGTATCTCAGGCCCTGGGAGGCCCAGGGGAGCAGTGGCTTTAGGGCCCAGGACAAGCTTCGTGCTCCTCTTCTGTGCCCGTGGGTGATGGGAGCACTGCTTCCTCTCCAAGGAGCTCATGGTGACTGCTCGGGGCTCCTCTCTGTCCTCTAAGCCCTGCCTCAGCTTCCTCCTCCACAGCTGGGGATACAGAGAGAAGCAGCAGAGCACTGTTGGAGACCTGCACATTCTTATTCTCCAGCCCAGCACCAGAAAAGCAGTAGGAGACTGTCCTGTGAGCTCTTGGGTTGGCTGCAAGATAGTCAAGAACTGAGAGCAACAGATTTGCTCTCACAGAGGTTCTCACTCAGGAGGGCTGGCCCTCCAGGGGAGGTTTTGGGCACACACACACCAAACACACCTTCCTCTGCCTCTGGAAACCACTTCAGAAAGGAAAATGTAAAATTAGAGAGGGATGCAAGTGATTCTGCTTACAGATTTCTGATCGTGGCAGCTTTATCACTGTGCTCAGCCCCCTCCGCCTCCCAGCCCCACCATTGCTGCAGAACTGTCTGGGGCACTTAGACATTGGCTGTTCCCACCAAGAGCACTTACAGAGGAAGATGTCTGACCTCTGACCACGGGGAATGCATCTGGCAACTCTCCTCTCACCCCTGTGCTTGGAAAGGCCCTAGCAATCAAGGAGGTGCTTCAGTGCATCTACCATGTTTTAAAGGAAAGGCAAGGCCCTGGTCAGACTCTGGCACAAGTCTGTGGGATGTAAAAAGGGAGCAAAGGACGGAGCTCTGCAGGTCACCCAGCTGGCACTGGGACATTAGTTCTATTAGAAAAGGTTATAAATTACCCAACTGCCACCAGTGAATCAGCACTTGGAAATAAATCTCTTTCACTTTGATGAGAATCCCTTCATCTTGGCAGGCTCCACCTCCAACCCACCTACAGATCTGTTTGGCTGAACATCTGAAAAGACACCCTGGTGGGGACCCTGCCCCAGGGATGTCACAGCACAAACCAGGTGCTGGCTCAGTGGGCTGGGCTCAAGGCAGCCCCCTCCTCCCATGGAAGGCACTGCCTGGGAAGCCAATCTTGTTTCAAGTCATTGCCCAATGGAATTTCAGGCATTGGGTACAACTTGAGGCTTATTAGGATTCAAGGCCTGACAATTCATTCTTCCATGACAGTGCTTCAAAAAAGCAATTTCCACCTAACCAGGAAATGAAGAAAAAACCAAGGTCTTCAGGTGCAAGATTGGGTAAAACCAGACCTTGCTTTTACTCAGGTCCAGAGAGCCCACCAGGCCATTGTTAAGGGAAAACTAAAGCAGTTTGGTTAGTCTTGAACTCCAGAAACTGGGACCTATCACGAGTCACGGGCACCTCTCATCTCACTGTGGTGAAGTGTATCAGCATCCATACCAACAGTGCTTGAAACCTTCCCTCCAAAGCAATTAAACAGGCTGGAGCAATTGATCTAGAGACTCATGTTGTGGATGCAGGCAGTGAGACAAAGAACCTGCTGCCCTGCTCCCACAGCACGGGGCTGCAGGGCCTGAGCAGCCCCCCAGCCCCTGCTCAGGCTCCTGGGGACAGGGGGCTGAGGGAAAGCTGCTCCATCACCACCACTTCCTAAGAACCAAGTGGTCAAACCACACCCCCCCTGCGTGCTGGTTAGCTTACCTTCAACAACAGGAAATCCCTACGAAAGCAAGCAGCAGCTCTGTAACCAGATAGTTACCAAGACTGGAACAGAAAAAGGTCTCAGCATAAAGCTACAGGCTCCTTCCCCAGATGTGCCATCTACTCTGAACACTGAGTCACTTCAGGGCTTGACTCCAAAATAACTGTCTGGCAAAACTGGCCTAAAGAATTAAATGTTCCAAACAACAGAGGCCAGCAGGAGCAAGCTGTTAGTGGAGGGAGGAAGGAAATGGGCATATGGGTGACACGCAGGAAGGGGCATCCTGGCTGATCAAATCAAGGAGCGAGGCATCCGGAGCGGGGCTGGCTCTGCGTGCGTCACCCGCAGCACCTCACAATCAATAGTCTCCTCTGCTGAAAGGATAATCAGACCTTTGAGGCCTTTCCTAAAAAGCTCTAAACAGTCAAAAAAGAAAAAGAGCCACTTCTGCCCTATGCATCCCAGCATCATCCTCTCCTACCTGGTACTGTGAAGTCCTGAGTGTAGATGATATCATCTTCAATGTCATACAAGTCATCGTCTTCCTCCTCGTTGTACCTGTGCAGATCTTCCAGATAAGGCACGGCCGTCATACTTCTCCACCTGTCCTTTGTTTCTGGGCTGGGAGGTATGGGCACCAGAGCCTCTGCCTGAGCATGTTTCTTTCGAAACCAACTGCAAAGAGTCCAAGAGCAGCCTCATCAGTACAACTTCCCTTTTCAGAGGGCACGGAGCAATCCCTGACACTGTGAGACGGTCCCATTCCACCCCAGCACTCACAGGTTTGTGCAGCTTGTTTGTGGACAACTTCCTAGGCAGTTTTATGGCACTGCCACACAGCTCAGAAGCAGAGCAAGATCGAAAAACCTCCTCCTGTGGCACTTCTTGGCCTGATGGCTGCTGCCCTAGACATGCCCCATGTGACATGAGTCCTTCCCTCTCTGCAGTTTCTAGAGGCATCCAGTAACTTCTGGCCAATAGTCACTGAGGAGGGCCTGAAGCCAGTCACCAAAGAGCTCTTATAAACCTGAGCCATCTGCTTTTTATCACTCCAGTTCCAAATTCATTTTAGGAAGAAAGGGTTGGATGCACCTCCTGCACAGAACTGTAATTATAATTTTGTTCTAGTCTTATATTGCTTTGACAGTAGCTTAAAAAAAAAAAAAAAGTGGCAGTCTAACAAAACCTTCCAGCAAAAGCAAGGAGTTAAGAGATAAACAAGTGAAAATGGAGCTGCTGGGACAAATCAGCCAGGATTCAAAGGAGGAGTGAAACCTCATCCAGAAACTCTGCTTCACCGTTAGCATCTTTAAGCTGTTTTCTCTGTGGTAACAGAGATTTAAAGCCAGGCTCCTGCTCCGTGAGCAGTGCAGCTTCTCGCCCTTTGCAGCCCCCAGAGCCTGAGGTTCTCAAAGGAAACATGTTTGGGTTAATCACAGAGCATGTCAACATCGTGCAAAGAACTGTCCTGTCCCTCTGTGCAGGCAGCCTGCAGGGACAGACAAAAGCTCCCAGCAAGGTCAGGTCTGTGATGCACAGGCCCTGATCTGGCCCTTCTGCCACAGCCACGGCCACGCTGGGAGCTGCAGTGAACACAGTGGGTTAGGAAAGAGCTGAAGGAAAGGCCAGCCCAGCTCCTGTCCAACAGAGCTAGAATGTGGCCCACAGCTGCAGCAAACCCTGCAGATGGCTGCCTTGGTGCTGTCCATGGCACTCCTGATCCCACCCCTTGATTTCCCTTCCTTGGGAAGCTGCTCTCATCAAGGAACTGATTGCCAAGGCAGCAAATGAAGCCTGGGCTGATCCAGCCTGGCAGGACTGTGGGGCACAGGGACAAGACCCAGTGCAGCCACCAGTGAAACTGGCCAGGGGCACTGGGAGCTGGAGAGACTCAAACAGGGACCTAAGGAGAATGGAGCACACCAGACAAACGAGGTCAGGACTGCCATCCAAAGTCATATTTTAAAGGGAGAAAGCCTGGAAGTCCACAGCAACTAGTGTTTTTATTTTGCTGTATTTCAGCTCTGCCTCTTTCTTTCCTTCTGTCCTACTTACCAGGAGAGTAAAAATAGGTTTTTATTACAGCAGAAATCTGAATCACTGCACTCTAGTCATAATGATTCCATCCTCTGGGAGGTGATTTCAAATACTTGCATATGCATATATGGTAATGAGGATATGGAGTGAGAAGAGAAATTCATTGAAGTTCTAAGAAAATCAAAGACCTCTTGGAAGGAGCCTCAAGCAATTCTGTATGGAGTAGCAGAGTATTTCCTGGCAAGCAATTTTCCAGCAGGGACAGAGATTCTGCTCCCTGCGCTGGTGCTAAATGTTGTTAGTGAAGATCTGCTCTTCAGCTGAGGACCACTGGCTCCATCAAATGCCCTGATCTGGCTCAAGGAGCTGCTGGCCCCTGGCTCAGCCAGAGAGCAGCTCTTCTCCCATCGATCAGTGGTGCAGACAAGAGTCCCTCCTCACCTGCCTTCACCACTGGCCCTAAAACACAAGCTGGACAACAGTAACTGCAGTTCTGCTGACACAGGGCCCTGCTTCAGCTTTTATTCCCCTTTCACAGATGTTTTCTGAGCCAACTGCCCTGGCACAAACACAGCCATCTACCTGGTGCTCACAGACTGCTGCTTTAGTCCCAAGGGAACAGCAAAGCTGCTGCAGATCTCAGAAGGGCCCCTTCTCCAGAAAACCTGCTGGAAGAGGCAGATTCCTCTCTGCTCTGTGAAGCATTTCTTAGCCACTCCCAGCTCTTTGGAAGAGGGTGGAGGGAGCAGTAGTAAGGAGATCATTTCTTACTACTTTGCAAGTGTGGTGAGAATGCCTGTGGAGCACAGAAACCCCAGAGAGCAGCACAAGCATTAATTGTGATCCTGCCAGCACAGAAGTGGTGTCCAGATGGGTTGCCACAGTCTACAGGGAGATAAGGCAGCAAGGGTCAAGGACTGAATGAAAAAGGGAATCTGGGTCGACCAGTACTTGATAAGCCTGTCTGGTTTGCAGCTTCCAAGCTTGAATTTTCTATCAGAAGTCATCACTCTGCTCTTTTCAAGTTCTGGCATAAGCAAGGTTAAAATAAGACTCAGTAAGCACAGCTGCAGCTTCTAAATACTTACAGCTTGTTCACTTCCCATTCTAGGTCACAAATATTTCAGTATGCTTGTTTTGAATACAGACAATTTTCTCTGAAACCAGATGCCAAGCTGCAGATCACCACCCTGCCAGCAGGGATGGGTTAGGAATGACTCTCCATCTCCCATGATACCAGGGAAAGGTTTCAGGCTTGCTGGAAGGTCATGGTCACCACAAGGAGCATTCCTGTTTCATTCAGCTCTCTCACAGCCCAATGTGGAAGGCACACAATGTGTGCCCTGGGGAGAGGCAACTCGGGCCAGCAATAAACATACAGCACTGCCCCTGCAGCCACTGCTCCCACTCCTGAGTCAAGAGATGGCCAAGTTCTTAAGTCAGGCTCACAAAGAACTAGGAGTAAGAAAGAGCAGCAGTTGTCCCTTAGCTGTTTCCAGGGCCAAAGGTGGCAGCTCAGATTTCCATGGGGAGAGGTGCTCTGTGCACAGGCGGGACCAACACTCCTTTAACACATCACACACTGTCACATGAAACCAACCTGCAGAACATGGGTAGAACCAGCAAAGAGTCCTTCCATGTCCCTGCTACAGGGAAGGACAGACCCAGGTGCCTGGGCAAAAAAGGAAAGGAGGAGCCTTCACATCATCCCACCAAGGACTTAGGGACCCAGGGTTTGAACAGCGTGGCAGAGCACCCAACAGCAACCCTCCAAATGTCTCGGGGAGGACTCTGGGGTGAGCAAAAACACCTGGGAAGGTTGCACGGCAGCTTCCAGGTCAGGGGGAGACACCAGCCCCACAGGCTAATTTGCACCTCCACTAATAAAAGGTGTAAGTATCTTCCCTGTCTTGCTATAAACTCTTGCAATGGCATCTATGACTGAACAAATTAAGTGTGACGCTCCTGGAGAAGGAAGGCAAGATGGTTGCCTTGGAAACAAGGGACAGAGGTAGAATTCTGCATCCACTTCATCACTTTAAGTGCTGCAGCAGGGTCAGTGAATTAGTTACAAAATGCAGTGTATGAGCATTAAGCCCTTCAGCAAAAGCCCAGGGTAGAGATGAGATGGTGAAAAATCTGTGGGAAGCAGGTTGGTGACTGCCTGGCTCGTGGCAGCTTCTCTTCACTGCCCCATGGCCCCCACCCCAGGGCTGCAAAACATTCAGAGGTGAACTAAACGTGTCAGTTCTTCCACTGAACATCATCCTAACCAGACCCTTCCGGGAAAAGCAGATTCCAAGGCTCCTTCATTGTTATCCAGGGGTCAGTTCCCAGCAATTCATAAACTCCCAGCTGACAGGCTGAGGGAATTCTAATTCAGTTCAATTTACAGCTCGTGGGTCTGCACTGCACAGACTGAGCAGGTGGGAAAAGCCTCTGAAAGCAAAGAGGAGAGCTGAGCTTCATCCTGCTGGACTAAAACAAAGTGCAGAAACGTGAGTCTGATGCAAGAGTTTAGCTACAGAGGTGAGGAGAGGAGGAAGGCAGCTGGCAGAGTAAAACTAAGCAGATTCTCCCTACATCATCCTTCAGACAGGGCTGCCAGGACTGGGGGAAGCGTTTGGAGGAGCTGCTGGAATAAGGGAGGCAGGGCAGAGTTGCCCTCGCTGGGGAACAAACCTGTGCTGGGCTATTCCTGTTGATTCTCAGTGCACTTTTAAAATATCAACTGTCTGCATGAGCAAGCCACCAGTAACATCAGCTCAGAGACATCAAAGGAGACTTCCAGCAGCACGGAAAGGCACCGGGTAATTCTGGTTTGAGCCAGTATCCATCCCAGCAGGGCAGCCTGGGTAAGTCGCTTGATGTTTCTATAGTCTAGTTCCTGTGCCTTGACACATGCTGTAGTGGGAGGAGTGCAGAGAAACCCAAAATCATTAATGACTGCTACTCCCCCACATGCTAGAAATCTAGGGATTCTAGTTTCTTAGTAAAATGCTTTCCAAAAACCCTCCAACAATACCTGAATGGCTACCTGCTGCCCTTCTGACTGCTTTGTTCAACGTAAAATAAAATCAGGGTCAGGCTAACATAAGGACTAAGCTTCTCTTCTATTTAAAGAAAAGCCAGGAGAACCAAATACTAGATCCTTTAGCACAATGCTAAAAGGAGATGGAGAGATACATCTGAAGCCAAAGGCTGCAGCTCTGCTGTGCTTGATGTAATTATTAGGATGCCACAGCAGGAGGAAGGAGGCAATTACTAATAGGGGAGAAAAGCCTGTTAAGAAGCACTGGCTAAGCTCACAGAAAACTAATAAGAGACTAAGCCTTGGAAACGCTCCTGTGTTTGCAGGCAGAGTCTTTCCTCAGCAGTGAGATGAAAAGCCCCAGCCCAGCAGCCAGGCCCAGTGAGGGGAACAGGCTGGGCCCACAGAGCCCAGGGGACTCTGGCTGCCCTCCATGCCTGCTCCAGTTTCTTCTGCTTTCTAACTACAGGCAGGGTCTCCAGAGAAACCTCTTTGCTTCCAGCTGGGCAAAGCTGACGCAAAACCTCATTGCCACATGAGAGAAGCACAAAATGGAGTATCTAGAGCTGGATAACTGGCTCAGACACCAGTCAGTGACACACGAGTCCTGCCCACACTGCCCTGTGCTGAGGGGCAGCTCCCTGCAGCCTTTGGGCCCCCAGGGCAGGAGGGAAGGTGCTCTGTGCTCCCCTCAACACCCACTCGTACACTCTGTAGACTTCATTCCTGCCGTGTCTCCTTGCAGTGCTCACTAACAAAGCCTGGGTCTGCCTGCCTGGCAAGCTGACCCCCACCAGCTGTAACGAGCAGAACTACTTCATTAGGAGGCACAAAGGCATCCAGAGCTTTGCTGCCCAGCTTGAAGCACTGCACCTCGGCGGTGGATGGGAGGACAGTCAGGAACAGCAGAAGCTGTTGTTTCCAAGACCAGCTCTACATGGTGCTTTAAGTGCCTCACAGGGCTGACGGGTCCAGCCCCAAGCAGTCTCTTTTATGGCTCTGCTGTTACTGGGAGGCACGTGCAGGGAAAGGCAGCCTTGAGAAGCAAACGCCTGCTCCTATCATCTCCCAGACCCAGGAAACAACCAGTGCACAGTGCTTGGCTGCTATTTAAAAAGAGGCAGCCTGACTGCTTAATTAATTGACCAGGCAGCTGCAGAAGACCTGCCTCCCCAGCCCCTTTGATCTGGGGCAGGGGCAGGTCTGCAGGACTCCCGTGCAGCTCCAGCCTGTCAGGGTTTGTTCCAGGCTCCTGCAGATGCTTCCCATGCACTAACACCTCCCAGGGACCATCCCCTGGCAGCACATGGCTGCTGCTGCTGCTTTGTTCAGAGACATGACAAGAAAAGAGTGTTTTTCCTGCCTGCAGGCAGCACAAAGCTGGCCCATCACCTTGCAGGATCAGAGCCTTGTTTTTACAAGGTTCCCAAAAGCTTTCTGGGCAGGCTTGCAGGCAGGGCCTCACCGAGCAGCTGCGGTCCAGCAGGCAGCTCTGTGTGTCCTCAGAAGCACTTCCTACTCAAAGAGGAGATAAGCTAATGCAGCCTTTGCCATGAAGCATCCTTATGATGCTTTTTGTTCTTGTACTTTTATCCGCCCAGGAAATCTCTGCTCAGAGGCAGCATGTTCAAACAGATCCTTTAAAAAAAAAAACAACCCTCAGAGATAATGGGGCCTTTCCCCCCCCTCAGACAATGGCAAGGATAAAGGGGGAGGATATGGGGGAGGGAAGAGTATGACATTAAAGAGAAAGAAAAAATATTTCCTATTGTCCTGGCGCACTTCTCCACATACTGATTCCATATGGAGCAAATGCCAAGGGACGTTTCTATGACCAGCCTGTCCAGAAAACCAGAACTGAAACACATTGCAAAACAGTCCTAGATCAATAACCCAGCTTTAAGGAATCCCTGGTCTTCTGCTCCACTAGTACTAGCTGACCTCTGAAAAAAAATAAATTATCCAGAACCCTTAATTATCAAGAACCAGTCACACTAGAAACATATTTTCAACATATTCATTATTTACTGGTTAGCAATTCAAATGCTTTAACCGGATGCTCTAATAGGAGGAAAAAACAGCCAAGTAGGGGTTGCCAGAGCTCCAGCAGAGCTGGAGGAAGGATATCTAGTGACTTCCATGTGTCTGCTGTCAAAAGGAAAAATGAGTTGAGAGCAATAGCACAGGTACATTAGCATAAGAAGCAGAAAGAGAATGACTAATAGGAAGAAGCTGAACACTCACTTGTGCTGCCTTATCTGCTGTATTGAAAATCTCTTGGCTGGGTCGTATTCAAGCATCCCTGAAAAGAAGGAAAAAAAGTCCAGGTGTGATCACAGATGCTCTCAGCCAAGTTGATGACAGGAAGCATAAAGCTCTGCCCTTCCCTCCCACCTCCCTCCCCCAACAGCCACTGTGTCCAGTCCTCCTGGCAGCTTAGGGAGCCTGGACCTCCAGGAAGAATCTGCTGTACCGGCCCCAGGAAGCTCAGCACAAATCCCATCCCCACTGCTGACTACCTGGGCCAGTTTGTCTCTCAGCTTCACCTCCTGAAAAGTGGATATGACCTTCCCCTCCTTCCTACTGCAGGGATAGAGGCTTCACAGCCCTGGATCCAAGTCCAAGTATGTCTCCAGGCAAAGAACAGCAAGACTTGTCATTTCACAGCTAATGCTGTTGAACTTACTCCACGGAAGAGCCAAAGCCTGAGGCACAGCATATGTCCAGTTGCTCAGCATCCCAGGAACTCAAGCCTAGTGAAATCCTATTCTGGAAGTACAGCTGGCAAGAACCAACTAAAGTCATTCTACTGTCCATCCTTTTGCCCCAGCCAGGAGTTGGATTTCTGGCATCATTTCCTTAGGTAACTGGGGTGGGGTAAGAAGAGGGGGGGCAGAAGAAGAGTAGCTTATCTGTATTCTCTCTAGGGAAGAGGGGGGAGAATTCCTTAAACAGACTTACAAGGTGCCCACTCTGCTGCACTGTCTTTAGAAAGCTTCAAAACTCAACAGAAGGGAAGTAGCAAATGTTGCCATGTTCTTCAGAAATTGGCCAATCATACCTAGCAAGTCTCATCCAGCAGCATCCCAAGATATTCTCCAACAAAGGTGCCCAGAATATATATTCATCTAATGGGTATTAACAAAGTTTCCCTGCTGTACCTTACAGGGAGTTTTGCTTTTACTGGATGACACCTCCTGTTGCACTGCTGGGTTTTGTACAGGCAGAATGAAGTGTAAGATTTTGGAAAGGGGTGAGAGAACAGAAGGACCCCAAGTCCAGCAAGCAGAAGGAAGCCTGGGGACAGAAAAGACTGTCCAACAGGAGTTTAAAAAGTCAGGGAAAGGAGCTAAGAGGGCAGGATAGCAGGGAGAGCTCGTGCAAGCACAGTGAAAACACAAGGATGGGAGATGGATCTGGAGGGACACATAGGAAGGGGGTGCTGGAAAGAGACATTGTAGCTCGAGAAGTTTCAGGGTCTTTGCGGCTGAATTTCTGCAGTGCTGCTGAACAAAGGTCATGGAGAGAGAAATCACCAAGAACACATGTGGTAGGAAAAGCTAATCCTGAAGATCTTCCTTGTCAGTTCAGTTTGTACCAGGCTGCCAACAGCCATGAACATGGGCAAAGAGATGGTAAATAATGCTCAGCTTTCATAGAACTGTGGAATGGTTTGGGTTGGAGGGACCTTCAAGATTCCCCAGTCCCACCCTCCTGCATGGGCAGGGACACCTCCCACCAGCCCAGGCTGCTCCAAGCCCCATCCAACCTGCCCTTCAACACTGCCAGGGATTGGGCAGCCACAGCTTCACTGGGCAACCTGCTGCAGTTTTAACCCTGAGCAGCCTTGATCAGGGACTTTCTCCATGGAACAGGTGAGGATGAAGGTGCTTCTGGAGATCCTCCAGTGTCCCTCTTGCTCCAGTTGGGTTTTGAATGTCTCCAAGGGTGGAAACTCAACAACCCCTCTATGCTGCCTGTTCCAGAACTCAATCACCCTGACAGCAAAGGAGTTTTCTCACATTCAGGTGGAGTTTCTCCTCACCTTACAAGAAAAGAAATATTAATTGGAAAACAAGATGGGAAGGTGGTTCAGAGAAAAAAAGTCCCACACCTAATTAAATGACTATTAATAAAGTTATGAGACAGTAGCTTCACAGCTGAGCTGCCCAAATGCGTTTGCTTTTTTTTTTTTTTTAAAGAAATAGGACTGCAAAGAGATCTCACATGAAGTCCAGGGGATAGGAAAGCAAGCACTGCCTTGGTTATCCCATCAACATAATCAGGAACAGGTAAATCAGAACACCTCCCCCTCAGTTTTTTTCTTTATAGACCATATTTCAAGGTGTTTTTGGAATTCAGCTTATCATCAAGCTCAGGATAAACTTTTGCACATCCAAGCAGATACCACATCGAATCTCCTCAGTGGAACTGTCTCAAACTCTTGCATTTTCAGTTTGTGATCACCTGCCCTGGGGTGCTGCAGAACAGGAGCTGGAGCACCCTCATAAGCAGCTCTTTAACCAAAGGAAAAAAGGACTACCAGGGCTAAGAAATTTAAGGCATTTACCAGCTGACACCAGTGTGAGCAGAGGATAAAGTTCCAAAAGCACCTGTTACAAACAGCTATGGTGCAGGGAGCTGCATCATTCCCAAGCAATTAAAAAGGCATAAAGGTAAATGAGCAAAAGGAATATTTACTTTAATGAAAAAGGACTGTATTTTAGGTGATGTTTAAAAGAAAATGGCAAGTCCAATCACCAAAAACATGCATTCAGGCATTCAGCTGAGTCACTGGTGGCAGTTCTCTGGCTGAAGTCCTGCACAGAGAAGAGCCTCCATCAAGCCAAAACACCATGTACTATTCACCAATCAAGTCATCTAAGAGTGTCTGCCCACAGGAGCCACACGCTCTGCCATTTATGGTAAAGGTTTCCATGCAGTGTGTCTGGGAGAGGAGATGAGACACAGCAGCAGGATAGGTCCTGGGGAGGACTCTGCCCAAGTGGTCAAACCCTGCTCCTGGGCACTCCAGGGACTGCTGTGCCCACATACAGGGTCTTGTGTCCACACTGGCTGTCTCAGGCCCCTCCAGGTGATGCCAAGTGGCAATCTGGAAACTAGAGACCACGATCCTGGGGCTCCAGCCCACACACCCAGTGATCATGCCCAAGCACAGCACCATGTCACACAACTGAACATCAGGCAGCACAGCCTGAGGTAGGAGGCTGGAGATGCAGGAAGAAATCTAACAGCAAGAGTTAATGAACTCAACCTGGATTTCACTTCAGAGGCTCCAACTCAGACCAACATTTAAAACAACCAATATAAATGCAGTATCAATCCAATCTGTAAAATCAGACAGGACTTGTTCCCTCTCCATCCTCCAGCAGCACAGCCAGTTCTGACCAAAAACTCCCTCTGCAGGCAAACCTCGACTCAGTGATCAAACACACAGAGCAGACCTGCTGCTGCTGGGTCACAGACACCAGCCTGCCCAGGGACTCCCTGCTCCAACACAGCTAAACCATCCCACTGCCATCAGGATCCACATCCTCTCACCATCCCTGGAATGACAGGTCAGGGTTGTACAGAAGTGAGAAAATGCTGAGAAATGAACTTTTCCCTGCTCACAAAGCAGAGCCAGGAAATAAATCCAGATGCTTAGTGCAGAGCTTTCTTTTGTCTCCAAGTTTTCTTTTCCAGTAAAGGTACATCAGAAGAGGAGGGAGAAGAGCTGACTTTGTACATTTCTCTGTCCAGAAGCAAACTGCATGAGTTGATAAGTCATGTGCAGATGGTGACAGCAGAACCTTAAGGCTATTTAGAAATGCTTCCACTCTGACACATCTTTACTGACTGCACATGCAGAAGCCAGAACAGCACTAGCCCTTCTCTTTTCAATCAGTAAAGTGTATAAATAAAGCTTCATCCCTGATTAGAGAGACAAAAAGAGGAGCAGCATCCCAACTAATCTGTTGAAATACACTGTCATGCAAGTCTCTTTACAGATCAAACTCCACAGAAGATTTAGGTCCTCTAAATTCTGCTTCTTCTGGAAAGAGGAATAAAGAAATAAAAACAAGCTCAAGGGGGTATGAGTCAAAAACAACACAGAAGTAGTCAACAGAAGAACAGAAAGACCTTAAAAAAGCGTATTTTAGTGTTTGCTTCACAGCCAGACTAGTCCTGTGGTCAACACAGCACTTATAGCCAGAGAGGAAACGAGCACTTTGCAGCATTCTGAAATCTTCTTTACAATGAAACCAGCACAAATGCTCCCAGCACTGCAGAGTGCTCTAAGAGTCTTTTAAAAGCAATGCAAAGGCGAAACAAAGTCTCTAGTGAGACAGAGCTGAGCTGTGGGTGTCTGTGCTGCTCATATAAAAGCATCAGCCATTGACAATACCTGATCCACAGGCTTTTGATTCAGTTCCAACCTGCTGCAAAGTAGCAGGCACCTACCAGGAAATGCAGATGTTCTGGAGGAAAAGCATGAACTAAATAAAGCACTCGGGTTCTGTCACCATAGCTACGTAGTATCAGCACCGTAGGGCTCAGCCCACCCTCGGCAGATGCCTCACCCTGCTGGGCTGCAGAGACACTCAGGCCTCCACAGCATGGAAGGAGCTGGGGACACCCAGAGTTCAGTCCCCTCAGGTCCCCCAGGGACTCTGCTACTAGAAAAAGTAAAGCATGTCAAACCAAACAAGGGGAGCATCGGAAGGTTTTGGCAGGTTGTACTGTGTACAGGTGCACACAATGAGATGGGGGGTAAATGTTCTTTGGTGGGATGGAGGGAGAACAGTAAAGGCAATTCTTAGGACTTCCCGCCACCCTGGAAGAAGCTACTTGCATCTCTGCAGTGTCCAAGCACGGAAGGGAGGGACATAGACAGGAGCTAGGATGAAGAAAGCAGTTCAGGCTGAAAGAGATAGACAGTGTGGGAAAAAAAAGGTATCAGGTGTGAGGCTCTTCCATTTGAAATGAGGCAGAAGGAAAAGCAGGAGATTCTGGCTGCAGACCTCATACAGGGGATGGAAAGAGAACTAAAATGGGAGTTATTCTGCTAATGAAGCATAAGATTTGAAGCTATCAATATCTTCAGGACAAAAAAAGAGGAACAACTGCCACGCTCATTTTCCCCAGAGGACAACACTAAGTGCAGCTGAGAGGCTTATCACAAACCTCAAATGATTTCTGCTGGATGCTTTAGAAGCCTGGCTGCCAGCCTAGATGGACCACTGGGCAGTTCCCGAGCTCGTAAGAGAGGCTGTTTTGAGTCAGCAGCCACAGATCAAACAGCACATGTAGACCAGGGCACAGCGCCCCGGGGCAGGCGGGCGAAGCTCAACCGGGCAGATGTGGCCCCGGCCCGGCGGGAGGAGCTGATCGGGCCATCGGGCCAGATGAGGAGCTGATCGGGCCATCGGGCCGGGGCGGCTGCGACAGCCCGGACGGGTGGGAGGGCAGGGGCTGCGG